TACCACAGCCGCTTCAGAAGCATTCATCATACCACTGAACGACGCGGTCGAAACAAAAGTGTACACCGCTGATGCGCCAGAAGCAAAGGATTTACTCGCAGCGACTGTGAAAAAACAACCGCCCAAGCGTATACAAGAGCTAATAGAGCAAGCGGCAGAAAATGAAGCGACCGCTGTTAATTTACAAAATTTAGAGGAGAAACTCGAGAAGGCCGAAGAACGTCGAAAGGAATATTTGCAACAGAAAATTGAAACCATACAAAAAACAACACAAATGTTGACAAGAAGTAGCAGTGGAGAATTGTTGGAGAGGGAAAAGCAAGATGAGCCGGATGTTGATGGCCAAATGGAGAAGGAGCACAAAAATGACAATCATGCTGAATATGGCGAGGGGAAAAAATAGTATGTTCTTAATTTGAAATATGTATGTAGTATTAGTATGAAGTAGATTTTGTACGGCATGAGAAAGCTAAAACGCCTAAAAATATGTTTAGTTAAATATTCGATAAATTCAAAACAGTGAAAAACAAAAAATTATTTATGGGTTTGTATGAGTAAATGCGCTTACTTGACTACACCCACCAAACAATTTGTGTTGCCGGCAATAAGAAAACGTGTCGCCCTCGGAAACAAATTTATTGCCGGTAATATTGCCATCGAATCGATTTCCTATTACCGGTCGCTCTAAAACGTCCGCCGAAGGCAACTCGCCTGGGTGAGTCGTTTTCTTATTACCTGAATGAGTCCTTTTCTTATCGCTTTAGGCGATATTTGGAATAATTTTATTCTTCTTAATACTTCATTTATTTTTTTGTATACCAAATTGCAACTTACAATCGGAATTAATTAATTTTCTCGCTGTGAGACTTCCTATTTTTTCAATCTTGTCCTTGGACATAATTTAAATGCTTTTGGCCAATGCTATTGACGCCATATTCATAAGTTTCCGAATTTTTGAGAACTTTTTTTATTCAAAATTGACATGAACGAAGTGGTGTTGCCGATTTGTCACCACAGCAATAAATCGGTGAGTCGCCAATTTGTTGCCATTGACGATTGTTGCCTATTTTTCATGTTTTGCATGGTGGGCATAAACTATTTAGATGTTAAATTTTTTTGGCACAAACAATAATAAAGTTGTGAATATTAATAATTTTAAAATCAACTTAATTACCAAATTTCATAGTCACATTCCATTGCGGCGAACGTTCGAAAATTACCTTCGATAGTCAATATGAATATTTTACTGAAATCGATATTATAACCAACCTTATTTTTCCAACATTCAAAGTATTTATATTGGCAAAGGGTTTAAAAAAGTGTAAGTTAATAACTGACGGACGAAAAAAAGGCTAAAAACTATTATTATTTTTTTTTGCTGATATGACACAGATGTGAAGTTTATGAAAAACATTTTTATATTTCACATACATGCGTAAAGTACATATTGTTACCTTAATTCACGAAAGTTCCTAACCAACTCGTTTTCGAAACTGCGTTTTTTACAGATTTTGGTAGGATCTATTAAAATACACCTTCAATGAAAGTTTTAAAGTGCTAATACCAAAAACAACGTAGTTACATGCCACCTTTTAAAAAGCCCTACCTGTTTTTTATACTCTTTTTTATAAAGCTTTTGCTTCTCCTGTAAAATAAAAAATTTATTGGTTGGCATTTGTGAATTAAGCTAACGATATGTACATGCATATAATTTTTAAGAATAATTTCCATAAAAAAAATAAAAGTTACGCATATAGGAGTCATACACTAGCCGACTCTTTTCCAGATGGTGTACATATTACAAAAAAATGTCTTATCGAAGAAGGCAGTAGCTATAGCGCTAAGCAGGAACATAAATTTTAAAATTTTATTTGCAAAAACGACAGTAGGTTAAAGAAAACCATGATAAAAACATAGCAAGGTAGAACCGTTCTCTCAAGTTGTCGGCCATGATTTTTTTTTTGAAGTTTGCCAACATTTTAAAATCATATAAAAGTGAAAATAAAAAATTTAAATTGTTCAAAAATTGTTGTTGCTTGAGATTGAAAATGAAAATGTGTGTGTGAGTTTGTGAGTAAATTTAAAAATTAAATTCCCTATAAACATTTTGGTTGAACGTTCGAAAAGTACCTTCGATATCCAATGTGCATATCGAACTGAGAACGAACTTATAACCAACCTTGGTTTTCCAACGTTCAGAGTAAATTTGAAATACACTCGAAATGGGTTCGAAAAAAAATTAAAACCATAGTAACAAGAGAGAAAGTGAAATCCAGCTCATTCTCGAAGGAAAATATAAGACAATCTCTCTCTCACAATAAAATTTCAATTCGATAATGGGCTGGATTTCGAATTCATAATGAAGGGAAAATACATTGGATAACGAAGGTGCCGTTTTGCTGGAGAATGCCTTAGTTCTCGAATCGAATACTAACCTATTGCACATTCGTTATCGAAGGTAAGACTCGAAAAAAAGATTGGTTTTCCAATCAGTTTCGAATTGCTAACCAAGCCCAATGTTTATTGGGTTGTTTGGAAACGTCAGAAATTTTAAAAGTGACTCTCAGCGGTTCTACCTTACTATATTTTTATCATGAAGAAAACGACATGAATTTTCATGAAAATGTTTAGTAAATTAATTTCATAACTTAAGAATAGAACATCGAACCAAAAAATTGGATAAAATTGTCCAATAGAACGTGTACACCAGTTTGAAAAAATTAGTTTCGAGAAAAACGCAAAAGAATATTTACCTCCTTTCGGCGCCTTTCCTCCACACTTATTTCTAACTGCTGTAAATTCCAAAGTACTTGGCATTTCGGAAGCGCTTAAAATACTTTTCAGAATATGAAGAATTTTGTAAGCGAAAAAATGTTTAAATTTCTTAATTTTATCAAAGTTGTATAACCTGTTGATGCTGTTTAATCGCCAAATTTAGTTTGAAATTACTCAAACGCATTTGTGTTTTTAGAATTACTATGAATGACATCTGTAAATAACGATCAATTATAATCCACAAAATTTAAACACAAAAAATATTTTGTTTGATCAACTACGAACGCACAAATAAATATGATTGAATTTACAAAAAAAAATGCAATAAAAATTACCAAAAAATCAAAATAACGAATTTTTCCCGCCTCTTATGTAACACAGCAATATAATTCGTAAAATTTTTTTTTAATAATTTCCGAAAAAATCAAAAATTGCGAACTAAATTTTTTTTTCTAAAAAAAAAAATAAAAATAAAAATATTTTCCGGCTATGCTCTCTTAACCCATGATGGTCACTCTTACTATTATCTATTAAAAACACTAGCCAACAAAATTCTGCGGCACTGCTTTTAAGAACCGATTCCTAAAGGATTTTTACCGTAGTTTAAGAATCTGGCCTTAAAATTATTGTTTAGCTCTAGTTTTCGAGATATACGGGATTAAAAGTTTCTTAAATGGAATATTTTGCAATTTTTATCTTTTGTAGTAGAATAAGGATGCAGTGTGGAATCTTTTGAGCAGCATAAAAAGAAAGCGTAAGTGTCGCCCCTTTATCACAAGAGATGAGAAATTATGTTACCCAAACAATAGTCAAAAAATATTTTTTTTATAAAAATTTTGTATTCAAAAATGTGGCGAATGCACCCTGAAAAGTCATAAATTATAACATATCGATACCATTTATTTTTTTTTAATTGTCTTAGCAAGTCTCCAATTCTAATAACGAAAAAATAAAAGATATGATAAAATGTCCAATTTATTTATTTTTCGAGTGAGTTTTGGAGTGAATGACCATAAGGACATACATACATATTTATGTACTTACATTTCTAAAATTATTAAAAAAATTCGAAACATTTGACAGGTAAATTGAGCTTCTAAAAGAGAAAGGAATTTGAATCAAGGAATTTGATCAAACAATAAAATTGTTATTTTTGGAAACAAGCCTTTGAAGCTCAAAGGTAAATATTTCAGCTTTTATTTTATACTGTTCAAAAAAATTTATTCGACGTCTATGCCTTTCTACAGAAGTTCAAAACATTAAAACAAATGTCAAGGATAAACGCCGATCTTCGGTTTAAGTTGTATATTCAAGCAAAGATCGGCGTTTATCCTTGACAGAATCAGAAGGGGATCGAGCACGTTTACAAAAGTTTAACGGGATAGAGAACTGCAACGAGTGTTGATACGACCAACGGCGAATACAACGGAGAACGACGCAGAGCATCTCAGCGTATTGCGCAGAACAACGACATCTAGGGAACAGCGTGTTAAGGAACCAAAGACGGAGAACGGATCGCACACAAACGCTCAAAACGACAACGGTACAGACAAAATTATGGTAAAATTAGCCAATTTGAGTGTAGCGCAATTGAACACGTTATTGCGAGAAAATGATGTGTCGGTTACTGGAAATAAAGCACACAAGGTGGCCGCACTGATGGCAGCCCTTGGTACAGACGAGGTAGAGGTACAAGAATTACCAACAGTGGAGCCTTGGGAACAACCGTTCAGCCAACTTCAGGAGCTTGTGTTAAGTTTAGCAAATTCAGTGAAAGCAATAGAAGTTTCGCTAAAGCCGGCATTGACGACACAAGATAGCACAGACGGTGATCTAGCAGGCACAGTAGATCGTTGTCAATTGAATAATAAATTTCTTTTCTGAATATAGCAGTTTCCTTTTAACTTTTCTCTGATTCATATGTAACCTTTGCTTGAATATACAACTTAAACCGAAGATCGGCGTTTATCCTTGACACAAAATTGAGTTTTGACACTTTAAACCCCAAATACGTGCCTCTAAAAAGCTAGAGCCAATTAAATAATTTGGTGGACAAATTCGGATTCTACGGAAAAAATTAAAAAAAAAACCAATGGCAGTTTTGCCGCATGCACTTTTGTTGAGCTGTGTTATCAAAGCGTTTTTTTTATAGGCATAAACTCAAATCTAGTGTAGAATTTTTGGTTTGGCATCACCGATCTTCGAATCGGGTTTTAATCCACTTTTAAATTTTGGCATACAGCCTTATCATGAGTTTCATTTTCCCTGAACCGGTTCACTTTTCACTTTTGGTTTCCATGGTTTTACTATGGGCGAGTAACAAATTTTCGGGTGAACCTTTTTTTCATGCGAAACTCATGATAAGGCAGATAATGAAAAACAAAAGGGAATATCATGTAGCCGCAAAGTTAGCCTGGGGTCCATTAGATCCACTGGATGCACTGGATGCTCTATAACCACTACTACAAAATATTTTGGAATTTACATATATAATACAAAGTTTTTTTCATTTGACATTGCATTAGAGATATTTAAACAGTTTGAGTTCCCAGCACACTAAAATTAAAAATAAATTGATCTAAAATGAAACGACATATTTTTGATACTCTACAACGGATAATAGAGCTTCGTTCCAAATTACATTAGCTTCTTACCCTGTACAAAGTATCAAGCAAAAACAGTTTCGATAATCGCAAAAAAACACACAATAAAAAACAAAGCCAAAAACTGAGTATAGAACTTTAACCACAACTGTTTTTTTTTTATG